AAGTTGGTAAAATATCTCAAATGTTGGGGAAATTCTTCACCAACTTAGAATATAATTTCATGTGCATCAAATTTCATCTCGTAGATAGGATAATCATATATATGCAACAAAGATCTATTTCTTCTGGAGAATAATGAAATTTTGTTCTCTTCTAGAGATCAATATTAATAGGGGGTAATGAATTGTGCAGTTGCTAAATTCTTATTCTATTCCCTATGTGCTGATATACAATAGCCTCAATCAAGAGAATTGTTATACAAATATAAACTTTCTTGTAATTTCACTAGGTGATGATCTTCGATATCACTAGAAACATTGATAGTAATATTAGTTACTTAAAATTTTCACATATAACTTGTACGTGGTGAGCTTCTGGTCACCTAATATTTATCAACATATATATTATTCTAGTGAACTTCTGGTCACTAATTATTCAGAAAAACCAATATATTATCTCTTGAACTTTTCTTTTTAACACAAACTATTAAAAATCACAATCTAAATATAGCTCAATCTTAATGTTATGTCTTGCCATTCAATTTATTTCATATATTTAACATGAGAGACCGTCAACACATTATTTCTTTCATATCAAATGAAACTTCAGGTTTTCATGACGAGAATTTATTAAATCCCGGATGGCCTAATTATTAATTATCACATCCAATCACTTTTCCTTTAGTATTTAAATTATGGTTAGTTTTATAATATTGGTGATCACCTTATTAGAGTACTTTATGCATGGCCATGAATATGATGTGATATAAGTACACCAATGTGTTTCTTTCTACAATTGGCAAGACAATTAACTAATACTCATACTCCACCAGAGCATTGATTGTAATCTTGATACATGCTAATCTTGTTGGACAACATTTTATACTCTTCTGGAGTACTTTATATAACCATAACACATTTTAATGTACTAGAAATGATCTCTTCAGAAGATGCATCAAAATGTGTCACTGTCTCAAATTTGTCATTGTCAATATTGCTCATTTCATCTTCCAATGATTCTTATCATTGTAACCCTTTGGACTACCACACTTCAGGTATGCTAGTTTTAATAACAACTAATCTGGTCCTTCTAGGATATCAACTTAATATGTACATTTATAGCTAGTATATAGGCAATGACATTTATTCATATCCATCTTCAAGATGATATCATTCTAAATATTTGATTATCATGTGGCCACCTCTATTAAATAAATCATTGATATATAGACTAGTGTATGTATCAAACTGACCATGAACATATTTGATTATTCATGTGCAAGGATTACATAAAAACAATGTAATAAACACTATATCTCCCTAACCCTTGCATATGGGGGTATAAAAATAGTGCAACAATTTTTAAATTCATTCTCTTTCTAAGCCATAAATTCTTTTAGCAATGCATGTATCAAACATTTACTAATTGAATATTGTGTACTCATGTTTACATTTCTTATGAACTTTTTCATGAATCATAATCAATAAAGTGAACAAACATACTTGTTATTCTTTTCCATCATACATCAATATCTCATTCAGTTCGGGGGATGAGTACAACTTAGTTACAAATATATATATTTTTGAAAACCATACTTCATTATTTTACATATTTATGAAAAAGATATAATATTCCATTTTTCAAATTCATTCCACATATGATAAAAGATGAAGTTCTAATTGAACAAAACAAAGTAAAATCACCATTGTATATAGAAGCAAATTTTATAATTAAAAATTATGAGTTCTGTAGGAGGATGGAAATGAACTATAAAACTATTCATACGGTGAGTATATAATTAGCATGCAACTTCACCCTCTTTTCAATAGATAAACTAATAATTAGATTTGATCAACCATCTCATAATATTGTATAGTGGTATTAAAGTCTAGTAGATTACACAAGGCTATAATATATAACATATAAATGGAAGCATCTATATTAATACATGCATAGGCAACATTGCCACGATCAAGTTTTCTATAAGTTCAATAATTTATATAACCATAAAACTAACTATAAAGAGTATAGTATTTTAACAGTTTAACCATCAATATAGCACACATAATAAATACGGAGTATATATGCAGTAAATTGTACTTTGATTCATCAAAGTATGCTACCAATATGAATATATGATAAACACCTATTTTATAGGATAAGATTTGGAATATGATATTTTGCGTATTATACCTTTGACAAAGCCATAATGCTAATGCAAGGCCATCTAGGAATTATAAAAAGGAAATAATAATAATAAAGTAGGATTTATGAAGGAAATTGATTTCGTGAGGTTTGCATTATCATCAAACATAAATACATAATATATACAAGCTAAGAGTTAACAGAGAATCTCCTAACTAAATCCCTTATTACGTGAGATAACTATTGACTAAGTTAAAGCCTAACTAATTGCTAGACTATTATAAGTATACCAAGATATATACGGTAAATATAACACATATAAATATACTCCGCATATGTTAAATATATATTCTAACAATTTAGGAAATTATACAAAATCGGAGATTTCATGAATATTCACTATATCCCTAATTACATTAATTAATTATTTCACCATATTCATAACTCTTATATCTTATAGGAAACACTAATTAAGAGAAATTAATTATTTCTACTTGAACAACCCCACATCAAATTACATATATCACAAAGGGATAAACATAACTTCTTTTTTATATAACAAGGAATGACAATTAACTTCTTAGATGAATAAGATAACATACATATATATAAACAAAATAGATTGCTACTCCACATTTCATATGTTCACCCACAAAACATTCTAAATATTCTAGGATTAGAGATTCGAACTATATAGGATTACATACAAAATATTCTATGCATTATCTTACCTTTTTCCTTTGCTTACTAAAAAAAAAAACAGATTTCAACTATACTTTTAAATTTCAATAAGAAATTAATGCTACATGCACCTCCAACAGTTTACAGTCTTTAAATTCAATAAAGATAAAGTTCAAAAGATTTAATAATAATAACAATTCTAATTTTCCTTTTAACGTCAAACTAATTTAACAGTAACAATCACAAATTACGCTCCATGCCTAATAATATTATCTAAGAAAAGACTATTAAGAAATCAACCAAATAGCATCTGTATCAATTAGAACAAATTAGAGAGTGCAGCAAAGAAATTGCAAATCAACAATTCAACTACATACATACTAGCCATAGACAAAGATAAAAACTATCATATAAGTATTCCCCGTCAATGAAGTACACTAACCTTTAGTCCTTTAATTACAATTAAACACTAATTCAACCCCACTTAACAAAACAATGCATCATACACGTATAAAAGGGGCATAAAATAATTATATTATGTAAACTTAAAGCTTAATGAAATAAATGAAATTGTGAGGAAACTTTCCTGCTAACGGGTTCACGATAACTGCATGGATCATTGGATCAATATCGCACGAGCTTTTGATACCACCTATAAATTTTCAAATAGCACCGCTTGTAAAGTGTGGCGAAATAAAAGGCACTGAGGCGGAGAAGAGGGGGGTTGCAGAGTGGTCGTAAAGGCTGGGAAGGCGGCAGTGCCGCGGTGTTGGGCAATGGAGCAGGGGAAATTCGGGGATTTTAATCGGGTTATGTTGGCTTTATTTTAACACTAATATTTGATTGTCATTAAGCTTTGATTGTATGATTGAATTTTAATTTAAATTGTGACTTAGAGCTTTGGTGCTGATAAGGGAGAAATATAAGAGAGATTGATAGAGAATAGATCAGTCACATTTTTTCCATAAAGTGGGGATATATATATATATATATATATATATATATATATATATATATATATATATATATATATATATATAACTAGGGTTTGCTTAGATAACAATAAACCCTAATTCTAGAACATTCCGAAATGATAAAGGAGGATAATGGATATCCATACAATAATATTTCATAACAAATTGTCTATTTATAGTTAGTTGAACCCGAATATGACCTGACTTTAAAATGACCCAATCTGATTGTAACCTGCAAATTATTGACTTGAACATAACCCGACTTGAATCCGAGAATGACCCGACTTGAAAATGACCCGACCTGATTACAATCCACAAATTATTGACTTGAACCGAACCCGACTCAAACCCGAGAATGACCCGACTTGATTCTAGCCCGCAAATTATTGACTTGAACCGAACCCGACTCGAACCCAAGAATTACCCTAACCCGTTTTAACCCGACCCATTGTTCACCCGACCTTAATGTAACCCGACCTGTTATTAACCCGACCCAAACCCGATAAGAAGTATGACCCGACTCAAGCATGACCCAACCTAAACCAGACCCGCATAGGTTATGGAATTAATCCGAATTAACCCGACCCGAGTTGACCCGACCTGTTTACCCGAATTGACAGCTCAACAATTTTGCAACTTGCTGAAAGGTTGAATTAACCAATAACTTTGAGAAAAACCCTAATTGAATAAACATAGGGGAGTTTAGCTCTTGCTCTCTTCACCTAGTCTGATTTGAAGGTTCAATTTGAATATTTCAATCTGATCATATGTAGTATGTACCACTACCACCAGTTTGACTATTATTGACCACATTGTATGAGAAAAAACAACTATCCACGAAGGCACGAATTGTTTTAGAAATTTGTGTCAATAAGGTGATATACTAATATACTTTGTGGTTAGGATCTAACAAGATTACGAGAATAAGCAAATGACTTCATAAGTACAAAATCTCAACATTCAATTTACCCATCTACAAAATCATGTAGTAACTACTCCCTAGTGTTGCGTAGGAATGCACATTGAGTTCAAGTGCATGTAAAGTTCCAAACAAACATTTTTGAGAACTTGGATAAACCCAACACCAACACCAACACCATTACCACCACCCAAGTAACAAAAGGCAACGAGTCTATCAATTCTCCGTATTATGAAACAAAACAATATTCAGGACTAGATGTAATAATTTATCTAACAAAACATAAAAATTAAGGCAGTCTGAACTCACTTTAAAATAAATCCATCAAATATTTTCCTCACTACTAACACCAAGTCTGCAACCATATACTCTCAAATAAAGCATCAAGAGTCGGAAGCTATGATCTACAAAAATAACATAAAATGCCTGAATTGGCCAAAAAGCATTACTTAGTCAATCTTTTACTAGGCTTTCATCCATAAAAACAGTAGACATTTTTGTGATAAAACCATGCATAGAGAAACAAAGACAAATCCTTAACGCTTCTTTGAGACACCAACAGTCTTTCCCCTACGTCCAGTAGTCTTGGTGTGCTGCCCACGAACCCTCAAACCCCAGTAATGACGGAGACCACGGTGATTCCTGTCAATGACAACATTCAACAAAGCCAGCAGTAACAAATATTAGTTCAAGGGATTGACCGAATTATAGTACAGCATCAATATTGTGACTTTGGCAGTATGGATTAGTGTTAAGCAAGGATCATATACAAAAACACACCTGATTTTCTTAAGACGCTCAAGATCGTCCCTGAGTTTCATGTCAAGCTGATTAGAAACAACCTGGCTGTATCGGCCATCCTTGTAGTCCTTTTGCCTATTGAGGAACCAGTCTGGGACCTTGAATTGCCTAGGGTTAGCGACAACTGTCATCAAATTGTCTAGCTCTGTGGTGGTCAGCTCACCAGCCCTGAAGCAAAATTTTAGATATTAAGGCAAACTTCCAACTAAGAAAACAATAACAAGAGATTGGTAAACTAACAGTTCTTGCACAGAAAGAAATTCTACCATATGTATAGAAGGCATAGTGTCAAAACAAGTCAACAGAGGTATAATTTGAACCACCCAAAATGGAAAAATTACAAAACCACAGGTTGGAACCCGAAAACCAATACCGCATGCAGGTAAACAGCATACAAGAAACCATCAAATTTGTAAATAATTGGCAAGTACTCCTCCCTCCATCCCAAATAACTAGCAACAATTACTTCTATGAACTATTCACGCACCACACTTTGACTGTATTATATATGGTTGTAACTTTTTAAATTTATTCTAATATATAATTGCTGATATTGATAGTTCTGCATTGTCAAGTCTAAATGTTCTACGTACCCTTAGCAATAGACCAAGCATTAAGGATTTTATGGGAAAAGAAACTACTAAAGTGTGGTGACTAATACAAAATTACATGCTAAAATCTCAAAATAGACCAATTCAGATTAGATATGGGATTCTACTAACTATCAAGAGCTTGGATAGAATTCTCCAAAAGACACTCATATATCACACACATGTATTAACAATTTCAGACTAACATCGGTCATGTATAAACTAATTAATTGAACATAACATTAAACAAACTCATTTTACCAAAACATTCATGGCACAGCAATCAAACAGATGTAAACAACAAGCATTTTAACACTAAACACACTCCATCAACATCCATCAACATTGCAATACACTGTTAAGTGTTAACTAGTATCAATTCTCAAAATCTGAAAACCTAACATCTGAACAGTTCTTGAAAACTAGAAATAACAGATAACAATTACCCCAGCTCAATTATAGATCATGCATTTTAATCACACTCGATAATCTAAGTTCCAAACAAAATATTGGCAAATTTTAAACCTTAAAGCATCCAATTAAATCAAATTTACAAAAGTCTGAAACCACTGGGTAAAATGAAGTACAGATAAGCACAAAACATAAACAATTACCCTAAAAAATGAAGTACCCAGAAATCAAAACAAAACACATAAAAAAACATCATCAAATCATAAGATAAATACATCAATAAAATCAAAATCATACATTAAAACCCATAAAAATTATACCTTTTGTTCATGTCGATGTCAGCCTTCTTGCAGCAAATGTTGGCGTAACGACGACCAATACCCTTGATAGAAGTCATGGCAAACATGATCTTCTGCTTCCCATCAACGTTAGTGTTCAACAAACGCAGAATGTGCTGGAACTCTTCATTCGCCACCAAAGACTGTTCAAAAATTTGACAAAAAATTAAACCCCAGATCAATTAATCAACGTATAATACAGATTAAATTAGAAAATTAAGAAATTGTATCAAAGTATCGAAGAAATAGGAGAGAGAAAGTAAGAGATCGCACCATTTTTGCAGATTGATTTTGAGTATGAAGCTCCGAAGCGGCTAATTTCTCTCTCACTTTGGTGGTGGAGGCCAAAAATGCAGAAGTGAGATTATATCTGTGAATTTTTAGGGTTATGGTTTTATGATGCCAAAACCCTAGTATATTTAACGAACGACGTCGTTTTGAATATGGGTTTGGCTTATTATTTTTTGGGATGGGTTGTAAAAGGTTGGGCTTTAATATACATATACACATTGGGCTTGGATGATATTACTCGTAATATACTAGTAACGACTTGTCCTATTGTAATTAACTAATTATCACTTTAAAAAAAAAAAGGGCTAATTGATGTGTTCGGTGACGATTTATATTCCCTATTCCATAGTATGTATGTAATGGCTAAAAATAATATTGGTAAGAATAATTGTTTAAAAAATTGAAAGGAAAATAGCAAAGTAGGCTTAAAAAATTATAAATATCTAAAAACTAAATTAAATTTTTTAAAAAAATGCTTTAAACCCATAAGGTTGATCCGAACTCGAAACTTTGAGTTATGGTTGACTAGACACGAAATGACCTGTGACCTGACCTAAACTCGATCGGACCCGACAAACCCAAATGGCATATCTACTTGATTTGAATATTTGATGCATATTTATCTAAGTTCAACTTGAATAGGTAGGTATTGATTTGACTTATGGCCTGTTCATATTAACTGAACTGAACTGAACTATTTGAGCTGAAATAAATATTTTATGAGAGAAAGAAATTAGGAGCTGGACTGAACTAAACTGAAATTAAACTGAAATTAAACTGAATTAAACAAGCTCTTAGACTTGGCAAAAAAACCAAGAATGACTCGATTTACATATTATCCTATCGGAGAGAATTAACCAACACAAACTTTAAATAAAAAAAAAAAAAACTTAGACTTGAATTTACTAGTCATGAACCCATCTCAAACCCGACTTGATACAACCTAAATCGAAAATTGAATCCATTTTGAATTTGAATTGAATTGAACTTGAACTGCACTCGGATGGACAATACATAAACTCAAATTGAACTTGACTAGACCCAAAATCTAACCAGTTTGGAGGCTGGATTTAAACTACATTACTTGATCTAAATTTAATCAGAGACATCTTGGTTTGACATGTCTAGAATACTCTAATTGATTGCTTTAATGCCTATTAGAGTGTGTCAATTTCATAATTGATGGAATACCCAAAAGAAAGTATTTTTGAATGTGGAAGACATTGTACAAGTTACAAAAATCACAAACGCATATTTAAACATACTAGTTGCCCTAATAGCTGAAATGACGTCTTGATTTCGATGTTTTTTGTTTGTGTTTGTTCGGGTTGCATGGCTTTGAGTAATGATTGTTTAGTTGGTTTGTTCTTTTATGTATTCTATGATTGTAGTGTAACTCATAGAAACAATGTAATGGTAAACTATATGGTTTATGACTTTATGATGTGTAATTTGATGTGTATTTTGACGGTTTATATTTGATGGAAGGATTTGAGTGATTTTAATGGTGGAAATTTGAAAGATAGTCTTAGAAGGCAACGACTTCTAAGTTTGATTTTAGGAGTAACGATCCCAAAACCCTAGTTAACAACTAGTTTGAACCTTAACAAAGTTCTCTTCAAGCAAAAGCTCAATAATCTCAAATTATAATTCATAAAACATCCTGTTAAAATAATTGACATACAACTAGTATATATAGGAAAAATAAATCTATCCTACTTGCCCTGCAAGCAAACTAAATAAAAAGCCCTAATAATTAATTAATGAACCAAGAGAGCCCACTAATTAATTAACACAACTTTGGAAGCCCAAGGCCCCATAACTACTACTAAGAAAATAATAAAAACATTATTAAAAACTCACTTGTAAAACCCCTACTTTAAGAGTAAGGTAAAACCAAGAGAGTACCTAAATAAAGCAATAAAAATAGTTATAAGGAAGGGGACTCGATTCACATCATTCCCTCCCTCTTAAAAAAAAAAACTTGCCCTCAAGTTTCGTTCGGAAGACAAGGTACCAAGTCACTAGCCCTCATAGTAGCGCAAATTCCCGCTCCAAGAAGTACTTGAAAAGTATCATAATTCTCCCTATGCACAATCTTGAAAGGTCCTTCCTCTAATGGTTCATTCTTACCTCTAGAATTATTAAAGATTTTTTGAGCATTTAAAGATAAGAAAACATACTCACCAATCTCAAAAGGGTGTTGGTTTCTCAATGACAACATATTAGCCCTTCTTTCCTTTTTGTTAAGTTTAGGCATAATCAACAACTCTCTAGCAGGAGCTTGAATAGGTGGCGCCTTAGGGGGTAAAGGATGTAATTGGACTCTCTTATCCCCAACCTTCACTGAATAAACATTTGTAACACCATTAAATAACACCCCTCGATCATATTGCCAAGGACGACCCAAGAGTATAGAACAAGCAGTCATAGGTAAAATATCACACCATACACTATCAGAATATGAACCCATGGAAAAGTTCACCAAAGCTTGCCTTTTAACTTGTAGTCCATCTCCATCATGTAACCAATTAAGCTTGTAAGGAGTAGGATGGTCCCTAGTAGAAAGATTCATAGTGTCAACCAACTTAGTAGATGCAACATTGGTGCACGATCCCGTATCTATAATCAACGAGCAACTCCTATCACCCACTTTGCATATAGTATGGAACAAATTTTCCCTTTGCTCATGTGTAGTAGGAGGAACAAAATTAGCATGCAAAACTCTCCTTAAGATACCGATATGGTGATGTTCAGGTTCAGGAGTAATCTTTTCTTGACCCTCAAACTCTTCAAAATCAAACTCACGGTTTATATTTGATGGAAGGATTTGAGTGATTTTAATGGTGGAAATTTGAAAGATAGTCTTAGAAGGCAACGACTTCTAAGTTTGATTTTAGGAGTAACGATCCCAAAACCCTAGTTAACAACTAGTTTGAACCTTAACAAAGTTCTCTTCAAGCAAAAGCTCAATAATCTCAAATTATAATTCATAAAACATCCTGTTAAAATAATTGACATACAACTAGTATATATAGGAAAAATAAATCTATCCTACTTGCCCTGCAAGCAAACTAAATAAAAAGCCCTAATAATTAATTAATGAACCAAGAGAGCCCACTAATTAATTAACACAACTTTGGAAGCCCAAGGCCCCATAACTACTACTAAGAAAATAATAAAAACATTATTAAAAACTCACTTGTAAAACCCCTACTTTAAGAGTAAGGTAAAACCAAGAGAGTACCTAAATAAAGCAATAAAAATAGTTATAAGGAAGGGGACTCGATTCACATCATTCCCTCCCTCTTAAAAAAAAAACTTGCCCTCAAGTTTCGTTCGGAAGACAAGGTACCAAGTCACTAGCCCTCATAGTAGCGCAAATTCCCGCTCCAAGAAGTACTTGAAAAGTATCATAATTCTCCCTATGCACAATCTTGAAAGGTCCTTCCTCTAATGGTTCATTCTTACCTCTAGAATTATTAAAGATTTTTTGAGCATTTAAAGATAAGAAAACATACTCACCAATCTCAAAAGGGTGTTGGTTTCTCAATGACAACATATTAGCCCTTCTTTCCTTTTTGTTAAGTTTAGGCATAATCAACAACTCTCTAGCAGGAGCTTGAATAGGTGGCGCCTTAGGGGGTAAAGGATGTAATTGGACTCTCTTATCCCCAACCTTCACTGAATAAACATTTGTAACACCATTAAATAACACCCCTCGATCATATTGCCAAGGACGACCCAAGAGTATAGAACAAGCAGTCATAGGTAAAATATCACACCATACACTATCAGAATATGAACCCATGGAAAAGTTCACCAAAGCTTGCCTTTTAACTTGTAGTCCATCTCCATCATGTAACCAATTAAGCTTGTAAGGAGTAGGATGGTCCCTAGTAGAAAGATTCATAGTGTCAACCAACTTAGTAGATGCAACATTGGTGCACGATCCCGTATCTATAATCAACGAGCAACTCCTATCACCCACTTTGCATATAGTATGGAACAAATTTTCCCTTTGCTCATGTGTAGTAGGAGGAACAAAATTAGCATGCAAAACTCTCCTTAAGATACCGATATGGTGATGTTCAGGTTCAGGAGTAATCTTTTCTTGACCCTCAAACTCTTCAAAATCAAACTCTTCCTCTGTATTGAGCAAACATGTACTCTCCTTCTCTTTCTCTTCTTGGTCAAGATAAGCCAACAACATTCTATGTTCCTTCTTGGATACCGTCACTTTGTTACCACAATCTCTAGCAATGTGTCCCATGCCTTGACACTTGAAACAAACTTTTTTTGCCAATGCAGCTTGTTCGGGAGTAACAACAATCATCTTCCCTTCATTGTTTGAATTGTTAGAGTTGATATTCGAACCCTCACCATTAAAGAATGACTTCCTCTCCTTGAAATAAGAAATTTTCTTTTCTTTCTCCTGTTTCTCAAATCTCTCTGCCAACCTTAAGACATCATCAAAGAACACATAATTTGATGTTTCCACCTTGTGAGAAATCGAAGGTGTTAACCCTTTTATGTATCGTCCAATCTTCATCTCCTCTTTTTCCTGCAAATCACAAAGCATGCACAATTTCTCAAACTCTTTAGTGTATTCAGCGACACTAAGATTCTTTTGTTCAAGATGATTCAACTTCAAGAATTGATCTTGGATAAATTCTCGTGGTAGGAACCGTTTCCTTAATTGTCTCTTCAACTCGTTCCAAGTATTAATTCGTGGCTCATCTTCTCTCAATCTCTTGGCACGTAAATTCTCAAACCATAGAGAAGCATATCTCGTCAGTTTTAGGTTTGCAACCTTGTAGGCTTTTTGCTCATCAAAACCTTTATAATCAAAGACCTTTTCCATCTGACGAACCCAATCTAAAAAGTCTTCGGCATCCCCATCACCTGTAAATTCCGGAAGTTCCAACAACTTCAAATCTCGATCATTGTCAATTGGAAAATTTCTCATGATTCCCCTAGGTTGTTCGTTGTTGATTATTCTTCCTTCCCCAATCACTTGAGTAGACAAAGTTTCAACCCTTTGATTGGTTTGAGCAATTTCTTGTGTACTCTTCTCAATTTTCTCATTCATTCGTTCAAGACTCGCATTAAAATTTCTCATCATATCAACAAGCATAGTATCAAGATCCTTCTTTGTTAAAGTACTCATGATGTCGAAATAATATTCAGAAAATTAAACACAAGTCTCAAGTTCTCTCATCAACAAATAAAACCTGTGTCCACAACTATTATGCGCGCGTCAATAAGTAACCACAATTTTAACAATTATACGATATCAATTAACTGAATTCCCAAAGAGTACTTTTTGCTTCACAAACTTAATGAAGACACGTATATAGCAATGTAGTGTAATCTTTGGCAGCAAAGTAAATCAATGATGATTGATGACACAACTTTTAATAAAATTAATTCAATATTTTGGAAGCAAGTCTGTTAACTCACCAAGTAAATTAAAAAGCACTCACCAACAAATAAAATAGGAGTTACGAGTACCTTTTGCACAACAAACTAGTAACCGATGAATTCTGCAATTTATCCGTTTGGCGTACGAATGTTTTTTTTTTTTTTTTTCCAATCAACAAGATCGATCGTGTAAGTGGAGGGGACTTACAAACCTGGCTCTTATACCAATTTGATGTGTATTTTGACGGTTTATATTTGATGGAAGGATTTGAGTGATTTTAATGGTGGAAATTTGAAAGATAGTCTTAGAAGGCAACGACTTCTAAGTTTGATTTTAGGAGTAACGATCCCAAAACCCTAGTTAACAACTAGTTTGAACCTTAACAAAGTTCTCTTCAAGCAAAAGCTCAATAATCTCAAATTATAATTCATAAAACATCCTGTTAAAATAATTGACATACAACTAGTATATATAGGAAAAATAAATCTATCCTACTTGCCCTGCAAGCAAACTAAATAAAAAGCCCTAATAATTAATTAATGAACCAAGAGAGCCCACTAATTAATTAACACAACTTTGGAAGCCCAAGGCCCCATAACTACTACTAAGAAAATAATAAAAACATTATTAAAAACTCACTTGTAAAACCCCTACTTTAAGAGTAAGGTAAAACCAAGAGAGTACCTAAATAAAGCAATAAAAATAGTTATAAGGAAGGGGACTCGATTCACATCACTTTATGTTTATGTGGTCATATCAAAATGGTCGTTGTAGGGTGGTTTTTCTTTTTTTTCTTTTTTTTTTTTTTTTTTTTTTTTTTGAAAGAACATTGTAGTGTTATTTTTGTAACAATTGATATTAAAAGAGTAGTGGAAAATACAAGTTCATGCCCTAGATTTGCGAAATTTGTTTATCCGATGGCATGAATTGTAAATAAATGGGAAAAGCGTGTCCCTTAGTTCAAGTATTTTTGACAGCTCACTATGCACAACTTGCAATTTGCTCCGTTAGACCCTTGCCCATATCTTCAACTACTGCTGCAACAGTAGTTAGTTGGCCATCCATGACAAATGACGCACGTACGTACCCTTACAATGTCATTTGAAAAGACCAAAATACCCGCAGATAAACGAAATTCGTTAATTTGGGGAATGAACTGGGTAGCCTAAATTATAGTTAGTAAACTTGTGGATCATTTTTAGATATCGTCGGTTTTAATATTGGATACATATGAATTATATTGATTTATGGGAGCCAATAGCTTACTCTCAACATGTTCACCTCCCTTATTCCAAAACATGACCTTTAATTTTATTGCCCATATAGTTCAACAACCTTTTGACTTAGGACCGGTTCTTTTCACTTTCAGTTCAGTTTCTAACTTCCTTCTCTCACAAACAATTTAGTTCATTTCAGTTTAAGCACTGCCATGCAAGTCTAACATCCATAGGTTGAACAAAAAGAGAATGAATGACAAATCAACAATACAACTATACAAGTATGATAAATTGATATGTTTCAAAGGATATGGAAATTATGAAAATAAAAAATAAAATAAAAATTGGCATGGAATTCTATCTTTACATAAGTTTTTACATTGTCAATCCAAAGTACTCTTTTTTTTTTTTTTTTCCATCTTGGTGAGGAAAGCAAGAATCTAATTTTATTTCAACAATATAGTAGTAGACCAAAAATCAGTTGACTCCTGGGCTAGAACTCTAGAAGCACTTAAGCATGCTGAGGACACAAGATACCATAGTCCATAGACAATATTCAGTCCAAACTCAAAAGGAGGTGATTGACACTTAAATGAAGACTATACCATAAAAGTCACACATCTTCTAAGTTATAATGCCACAATTTGTCAAGAATAAGGGTCTGTTCTTATTGACTGAACTTAGCTGAAATGAACTGAAATGAAATGAATATTTTATAAGAGAAGGAAATTAGGAGCGGAGCTGAACTGAACTGAGCTGAGCTAAATTGAACTGAATTTCAACATATGAGAACATGCCCTAAGAGCAACTAAGCAAGGCCTTTGTTCACTACTCCGTATTACTGACTCATCAACAATTTCACAAGCATTTGGAGTGCATTTAGGCTGAATTTGATGGGAATATTGAAAATTCAAACATTTACCAGTTACCACCCATATCACTGTAAGGATAAGGATGATACAAATATGAAAATTCTACTAAAAAAAACAATCTGATAGTATTCTAATTAGAATAAATCTAATAAATGACAAAAATATAACAGAGAATTTTAAGCTTAAAAGTATATAATTAACTCAAAAAAAAAAAAAACAGTAAATAGTGACAGTACAGTCAATAATACTAATGGACAATTACTACACGAGCAACTTAGCAAGTATGAGTACAGTACTTGTTACATTCAATTAACAACAAACCAACCCGTCAATTTGCATGCATTGGGACCCACATTTCACTAACACTTATTCAACGTGGGCCCCTCCCTACTTTAATCACACTTACCCAACCACCAGGGAATCTAATTCCTCTTCTTTTTCAATTCCCCCCCCCCTAAGGATACAATCGTAATTGTACATCTCCCAATAACATTTTTAATTTAATTATTAATTTAATCATCTAACTTTTCATAACGTTCGTTAGCAATTATTCGGCGAAAAAGCAACTTGAGATCTAGCTAGATCGTAATGAACACGTATCCCTTGTTGTTGTACATTCCCTATTATCGACATAGACGACGTCGTTTCAGCGAATGCAAAGCAATACGTTCCTGCTGAGTCCACCGGAATCAAGTAATTCTTCGCCGGTAAATCAAGGGTTTGTCCGCCGGCGAATTGGAAAGCAACCGTCGGAACTTTAACGCTACTCATTGACGAGAAATCGTAACAAGTATCAAACAGTGCTACTCCCGTTGTTGACTTTAGGTGCGGCGTTAGCCGAGTGAATGCGGTTCGAAGCGAATTGTAGGCTTGAGTTGGTAGCCGAGTTACGGCTGTGCCTGAATCAACGATGACTCCACCTGAACCCGACTCGTCTACATCGAATAATGTTGGTGGGATGGAGATCTGCTGACCACCCACGCTGAACCCACTGAGTCCAACGTAGTAGAATGTGTTGAGTTTGTTGTTTTTGATAAGCGGTGCTGTTACGCAGTCCGCTGGTTTCGCGGAGTTGAACTCGAGTGAAGAGCTTTTGGGGGAGTCACGGTCGACTAAGCAGTATGAGAAGGAGGTGGCCTTGATTTGTGAGGGTAATGAGAGCGGGCCACCACCGAGCCCGAGAAGCCCGGCAGCACCCACGAAGAGTCCTTCGTTGTCGTGGCCGCATCCTATTGCTACCTTTGGGATTTTCCCTGAGGTGCCGAACGACACCGTTTCGGTGACGAATTCACCGACGGTGTAGGACCCGTCGCCGTAGGAGACCTGGTAGAGACACGCGCTGTTGCGGCACGCGCTGACCTCGAGGGTGGAGCATTCACGTGTGCTGCACGTGAGAGGGGAGTATGTGGAGGAGGATGAAGGGGTGTAGATTGGGTCGCTTTGCTGGTAGCAGTCGGAGCAGGGTTGACATTGGAGCCAGCTGACGTCACTGCCTGTGTCAATAACCATGAAGTACTCCTTTGAAGGGGAGCCTACACCGACGCGTGAGAAGTACTCGCCGGAGCCGAGGCTGGTCCCGGAGGATACCGGTGCCTCGAGGTCTTCGGCGGCGAGGGCAGCGTCCATTGGTTTAAGTTCCGAGCGAGAGATGCCTCGGAGCTTAAACTCCGCCTTGGAAACTAGTGAATTGACATGTGCGGAATCACGCGCGAGGCGGGATTGCACGAGCTGCTTGTAGTCTGTGTAGTGGTGGGCGTGGAGGGAGATTCGTGGGTGGATTTCGACAGACAGTGTGCCGTCGTTATGTTTGTTGGGCCTATGCTGCTGCTGCTGCTGCTGCTGCTGATGTATTTGTTGAGTAAGCTGGGCGTTGTTGTTGTCGGCAGAGAAGAGGTTAAGGGTGGAGCGGAGCGAGGCAAAGACATCGATAGAGTTGTAAGTAAAGGTGGAGGAGGTAGAAAGGGAAGGGAAGAGGAGGAGGAGGATAGAGAGAGTGAGAATGGTAGTAGTAGTGGTACAACAATCTTTAGCCATTTTTAATATTTTAAAGTGAAAGAAAAAGAGTGAGGGAGAAGAAGATGGATAAGATAATGGGGGGTTAGGGGTTATATTGAAGGAAAGATGAGCGGATTAAAGGAGGGAAGGAGGAAATCACGTCAGGATTGTTGGGAAGAAAACAAAATAATAAAAGAGGGGAAGGTGGAGATGATAGATGAATGAAAAGAAAACATACAAATTAATTTTTGAAAAAGAAAAGTAGGTCCCTTTTCCTTGAAAAGTCTGTCGGTTGGGAGAAATTCATTCATCCATTTTCTTTTGCTGCTACTTACTATCCGCTACACCATTCACTTAACAAAGTTCAAAGACATCTTAACATCCTCAACAACATTCACTTACCATAAACCATTTTTTTCCATGGCTTCTGCTGCCCGAGACCGGTTACATGGGTTACGTCGTCAATGTTTGATGTGCAGGTGCTTTGGTTTGTTTCTTTTCTAATTTTGTGGATTTAAATTCTGTGTTTGGAAATGTGCTTATACTAGATGAGTACACTTGGAATTGTATTATATCAGGGTATGTGAAAAATAATATGTTTCTGTGGACTGAAATGATTTCTGATTTCTGGTTACTCTAAAGTTTAAGATAGTGAAAATGCAATCAAAGTTTTCTATGATATGTGGCAATAGGGTTATAAAATTGATGACTTTTCACTAAGTACTTAAGTAGTGTTTTGAGTGCATGTGCTGAATGTTCCACATGGTACAATGGTACACATGAAGAAAATCCAAGTTCAATGTCCACATGGTACATTAGTACATACACTAAATCCTCAAATATCCTTGGACCAAACTTACAAAATTATAGAGCAATTTGTAAAATTGTGCGAGTCTGAGTTATCCAAAATACTAAAGATCAAATGCCTGCAAAACGGTGCACATATATATCGAGTGATTAAAAACATTATCCGTCTGCCCGAGGCCCCAAGCCTTCTACTGAGTTCAATTCGCCTGTAGACTACAGCAGGTCAGCGGCAGCATGTCATGGCTTAGCAAATCAGCAGCAGCATGTTATAGGCGAGTTTCATTCTTGGTTTATCACCTAATCTTGATTAACAGAGCAAATTTGTAACCTCTTAATCTACCTAATTCTTCACTCTCCTCTGATTCGTTTTCCTCTTCAGCCTTCTCTAACTTCAGATGATTAAAATTGATTTCCAATGACGGGAGCCTGTCATCAGAATCATCTGAATTGGCTTCTTCATCACTCAAGAATTCATTTTTATCTGCTTCATCTTGTAGAATATTACAAGCATGTAGGTTTTGTTGTTTGGATTTCCAAGCATTCTGAGCTGAAATTATCTCAGCACTATCTTTGCATTCAGAATAAGCTTTAAGGAGCTCCTTGTTAAGTGACAAGAACGCATACCCCCACTTTGAACTTCCCCAGCAACAAATGTGCCGTCTCCTCTTCACCACATATCAACAGCGCAGCAGCTAACGCTTCCACACAAGATATAGCTCACATGGCCAGCCATAATTCACCATATTTGCTGCTACCAACCATGGTTATAACCGATAGCAAATGGAACATCAGTCAATCGGTGCCATGAGCAGTCCACGACAGCCAATCCTCTCAGCTTGATCAAAGCATAGTCTTCTCTAAATACACAGCGAGTCCCAACTACGACAGCCAATCCTCTCAGCTTGATCAAAGCATAGTCTTCTCTTGATACACAGTGAGTCCCAACAGGGATCAAACCAAGGCCTCCAAATCCAGCATTCGCACGCAATTCTTTTAACAAATTAAACCTAAGCCAGCTTCCGTCCTGTACACCTCTTTGCATCACATTGTCCAAAATCCCACATAGCAAGCTGAATTGCAGGAGCAGGTTGTTCACCTCGCTGATAGCAGTGATTCTTCTACTTCCTGGGTGGTTTGTGTCCTCCCATATGCTATGACGAAGACAAAACTTAAATAAATCACGCAGTAGTATAACTTCGATTTAGGGTGGCTTCAAAAATACAAAAACAAATGAAGCAAACAAGTAGCAGTCTCACAAAGAATTAATACTCGCCAAAAAGAGAGTGATCCCATTAGCAATACCCTAAGCTTGTTAGGGTGCACAGTTTTGTTTATCTCACGAAATTACTACGAATAACATCTTCGATTGCTATCAAATTCTGCAAATGCATACACACAATCGAAGAGCAATGGCAAGGCACTAGACAAACACTCCTTCCATACACTTCAAACCTACAAGATTTGATTCTTTCACAGCTATAACACCCAACTGTTTCATATTTACAGTCAAATTCAGAGTGATAGCAACTACACAGAACCTGGAAAAGGCAATAAAGGGACCTCAACCTTAATCCATTGAAAGGGTAAACTTACAAACAACAAATCAAAACATAAATTCAAATAAAATAACCTAATAAGTAAGATAATGATCATTAGTAAGTGAAAATGTCTACTAATCATAGATTATTCATATAAAGTGTTTCGGGGTTTTTTGATGTGTCCTGCGGGAGAGTTACGATTCCAAGAATGCCCTTCGACGCCTGTGCCTGCAAAATCACGAAGACTCCTGGGGGTAGGAGCTCCGCCTCCGACGATCAAGTTAGTAAAGATACGAGAGGTAGAATGCACGTAATGTGGAAGTTACTTCTCGCGTAATGGGAGAATTCCGCAATTAATATTGCTCGGGGTAAGTGTGTTTCTTTTTGAGGAGTATTCAATGTGATCAACAAATGTTCCAGCCCCCATTAATGAGGATCCTTCCACTATTTATAGTGGGGAAGGGATGGTTCCCCTTTTAGGGTTTAGAGGACACGTGTCAGCAGAGGATTGGAGCCCTGCTGACCAATGGCTGGATGCCACGTGTCACTAGGCCATTGGGCCATGTGATTAGGGTATTTTTACCCCAAACATTTGCCCCTCACTGGTGCTGACGTGGCAGAGTGCCACGTGGCGCCGGTGAAAGGTTTTTTTTTTTTTTTTTTTTTTTTTAGGATGGAAAAGCAGAAGGCGAAGAGTCACGACTTTTCACCTTCCGGGACAAATTCTATAAATAGGAGAAGATGTCCCCCGAGCTCTCATTTACAAACTTTGCCAAATTTCTGAAGATTTGAGAGCAGCCGGCAATTTGAGAGTTGAGAGCATTCGGAGTTGAGATTCGTTGAGAGCAACCGGTCTACAGACCGTCTGGGTCGTTGCAAGCTAGCCAAAGATTTTCGAGAGGGTAATCAGAGAAACCCAGCCGGATTTTGAACCGCCTGCGTCTTCGCAAGCATCCCAGAGAATTTCCAGATTTTCTTCTAGGTACCGTCTCTATTCTTTCTAGCTTTTTCATGTATTTCCGTTTGAGTCTTTTACTCGCATTTTTGTTCATTGGTCCCATAAGTAGATGGACCCCTTATACCCATACCCGGAACCTAGCTGTGAACTCAGCCGGTTTATTAGTACGGCTGAGTCTAGAACTGGGTCTGCCGCCTCTGTTCTTTGGGACAACCCTTTTTCAACACCCATATCGACCGACTCTGTGTCTGTGCAGGACACAATGGCCAGAATCCGGTCTACTGCCAGAGATCCCAACTACAGAAGTGGGAGCTCAGATGAGCAGCCGCCTGAGGTCCCAGCTTCAGGCGGTGAAATAGAGCATGGAGAGGTAGAGCAGAGAGGCTCACCCGGGGGCGCTCCTAGCACCCCGGGTGATAGCATTTTAAACGAAGAGAGTGCTCCCCTCCAGGAGACCAGAGAGCAGGTAGGCTCTGATAAGGAGGTCTCCAACTCCCCAGCCGGCTCTGATGCCGGTCACGTTCAAAGTAGCAGTAGCAGCTACTTAACCGAATCTGAGGATAGCGAGGAGGCGGAGAGGCCTTCCTGGGATAATAGGAACGATCCTCTCATGATCGCCGTCTCCTCCAAGGACCGCGAGCTCATGCGGGCTGCGCTGCCAGATTTTATCAAACGGCGGCCGCTGGGGGGTGACTATACAATAAAGGTCCCGGCTGCTCTGGGAACAATATGGTGGGAGGATGGACAACCGAACGCGAACGCTTGGTTCGGGTGCTACGAGGCGGCCTTCGTGGCCGGAGTCCGCTTCCCTCTCCACGACACAATAAGAGCCATACTTAGGGGGTATGGCCTAGGTCTCTGGCAATTAACCCCCAACTCATGGGTAAATATTTTAGGGTATATCGCCGCCTGCGAGATGCAGGGCCTCAACCCCGGCTGGGAGGCGTTTGCCCACATGCATTACTTGAGTAGGAGCCCAGGCGGCTGGAGAGCCTGGTATACCTTGACCACCCAGCCCAAATACCTTATGACCTTGGACAAGCCATCCAAATGGTCGGACTGGAAGCATCGGTTCTACTTGGTTAAGGCCCCAACTACGGCAGAGAACAGAGAATTCCGGATCTACAACCGGAAACCAGAACTCTTGGGGACCAAGTGCTGCCTGCCCCCTGTCCCGGAGGATGATAGAGAGACCATCCTTGACTCCGGGTTTTTTTGAGTTAGTTCCTGACACCCTCTCATCCGGAGAGATAGTAAGGGTACCTAGAAACTGGGTGCCCAAACATGAATTTTTTAGGGACGAATGCTTCTTGTCCGCTTGTGGTCTAAGCAGCATGTTTGAAAAACGTATGTATTCGGAACTCAGCCGGTTTCTTTCGAACCGGATGCTTTTATTTCCTTGCTTATTTATTATTCTAACCGTGTGCCTTCCTCTGCAGAAGAAGCCAAGAGAATGCTGCCCACCGAGAAGACACCGGCTAGGTCGGCTGCCGACATCCGGAAAGCCAATCTCGAGAAAAAACTTGCTGCCCAGGCGGCGAAGAAGGTATAACCGTCTGATCCTTCTCGTTTATGTCGATCCTTTTATCCCATAACTTATATTTTTCTCGTTTACAGGATGGGAAGAAGATGCCCCGGTCCCTTCAAAAACAGGTCAGGCCTCCGCCGACCCAACAAGAGTCTGCATCCAAGGTGCAGAAGACAGCCGACCGGCAAACTACCGGCGACAAATCAATAAGGGTCCCAGACTGGCCTGGATCTGCGGATGTGCTTTCTGCCATCCCATTGAGGACCGCACCCGGTCCCTCTGAAGGCCGTTCGGGCCGCCAAGGTAACTTCGACCTTAAACTGCTTGATCTGCCCATGCGGGTCAAGTCTTATTCACAGTCTCGATCG